GTTATTCATTACTCTTTGTTAATATAACGATAATAATCTTTCTCCCACCTCCAACTGTGAAGAGTTTTTCAATCCATTGAAGCACTTCATGGTCAATTCTTGAAAATAACGCGACGTCCCTTGTAGTGGAAGAGCAAGTCGGTCCGTACGTGTAAACACCAACTACAGCCCAATGACCGTCCTGCTTGATAACAACCGGGCTTCCTTGATCAGTTGAACACATTCCTTTAGTTCCAGCTACAGCACACCACGATTTATCTAACATTTTTCCCTTGCTCCTGTCTCTGAAACTCCGATGACAATCCCGGCCAGGAGTTAACAAAACATCACTTTGAACGAGCGTTTTAAACTGGGAACTTCGCCCAGATAAGTGACCCCAGCCCGTAATCTTTCCGAGTAGACGGCGCGAGACGTTGTTGGTCTCAAAATCTGGCAGTTTCGCGTGTGATACGGGAAGATCATCAGGCAGCATAACTTTGCGTGCAAGATACAGTAGACCGAAGTTACCAGTTGAAGCTGAAGCATTATACTTAGGATATACAAGCGCTCTCAGTACCGGTGCTGTGTCTTCGCCTCGTGCTTGAAGATCGACATGATGATTGCCAACTCTGATGAACACTGTCGAGTGATCGCTATCCACATTGTGTTTTGAATTCAATTTCCCTTTCACGAGTTTAGTACACAAGGCTGATGATAAAATCCATTGCTCCTGAATTAAAACTCCGCTACACTTCACAGACCTCACGAACACATGCCAAGGAAATCTTTCTCTCAAGGGATAATGCGTTTGCTTGCGTGTATTGAATGAATGGCCATAGTGTACATCGTAAGAGGATGTTAACGGTAGAAAACAAAGAGCCAAAAAGATGTTAAAGGCAGCCATTGTACATGGTATCTCTGTATACGTGTTCCGCTTCCGACGTTATGCTGACAGTTTATGCCCTAATGGTTTTGTTATTTACCACACGGGGTAATCGGTAAATATTTGTAGGTCGTCACCGGCTATTCCGCTAATTGGCTCTCATTACCAAAATAACAGCTCTTTACAGAAGCTCACACTCACTTGATGGTTTGCAAAGTGATATGTTTCCTGGCGGCAGATCAAATAAATATGTTGAACATTTGCTTACCATTAAAATTTATCACTGATAACAGAAAAGTATTCTTGAAAAATATGCTCTCTCGGATATTTCCGCAATCGACGGAGAGTTTAAAGTTTCAAACTCAAAATTCTTACATTAAATCCGTGTCATTTTTTGACCACGAAACACTACGAAGGGTCACGAAAGGTGAAAAACTCCTTGTCACGTATTTTTATGTAACACACGGAAATAACTCAAGTGAGAAGACTTTCCTCACTCCTATAACACGACAAAAAAAATAATAAATATAAATAACAGTTGACTCACACGAAAATTTACTGAACAGCCCAACAAGGTTGACGATGGTACAAAGTGTAAAGGTGTGTGGGCTCTGAATGTCCTGAAGTAAATTCAATCTCTGTTACAAATAACTTGAGACACAACGGGAAGAAGTCTTAAAGATAGTTAAAGAAAACAAACATCAGAAGGGAAACCATGTTAGTGTTTTAATCGAGAGAGAAGGTCACCGGCCAGGAGCGCATTGAAACGACAGCAAATTGAAGAAAGAAAAGCACAATAGGATGGTTCTGTTTGCTTCAGGTTACGAAGACTTCTTCACAGGGGTAAGGCGTGGTTGACTTTTATCATGGATCATTATGCCACTCTTTTATTGATTGAGATCGATCAATTTCTTCAAAGGCTTTTTTTTGTGGGGAAGATAGTATTAAAAATGGCCAGGTTTTGCGCGAAAGGAAAATTCACTTGAATTTTTAGGTAATATGACTGTTTTTACAACAAAAGTTAACAAGCAGGAAGGCGTTGAAGCGTGGTGTACATTGCATGACACGCACTCGGATTTCCGTCTCCATTCAAGATAGCATTTCAGTATATGATACCCAAGAAGTCTCGACATTTAAACTCTGAAAGTACCTCTGAGATAAAGTTTTTCATGTTTCGTCACGCAAATTACTTTTCTGATTTCTAGCGGTCACATTTATCGACGGGAGGGAGGGGGGGAATTTTTGTTGTCACATAAAAATTTACCCAATACCCCCATGTAAGACTCTCCCCTTCCAACAGTTATAATTCTTATCATTCCCCCCTCCTTTGGGGGTTATGTACAAATACTAATATTAAAAATCTATACAGGTAATTACAATATAATTTTAGATAAAAATGTTTGACATTGAGCAAAGCCGGGTTGTTCAAAGCTGGGTTAAGATAACCCAGGGTAAATGAAAAATCTGATTTCAGATCTGGAAACTTTAAAGGAAAATTCAGTATTAGTCTTTTTGTCCACAATTTGGTGATTGGATGCACTAAAAAGAATAGAGAAAATTATGCCAAAAAGGCTTTTCAAAAAAGGAATGAAGAGACTGGGATTAAAATTTAATCCTAGAAATTTAATCCAGGGCTAGCACTAATCAGCCTTCGAAACAGATGGCTGATTAGTAAGTTCCTTGTATAACTGTACGACTACTGAGCTTGTCAAAATGAAAATTAGCTTCAAAGACATATTTTCTATATTCCACCGATGCTATATGGATAATTTACTTTATTGGAAAACCGTAGCTTGCATAGTCAAGCTCCTGAAGGAAGGAGGAGGAGGAGAAAGTGTGAATGGGATAAAAGAAATACTCAATTTTCTCTATTCCCACTTTTCTATCTGGTTGCGACGACTGATCCCCCCACCCTAGGCTCCGTTGTTCTGCGTGTTATACATCAGTATCGCTAGATGGCTGAGGGGAGAGGTTGGAGGATTTTGGTTGTGTCACACAATAAAATTTACCCGATCCCCCTCTAGGGTCCTGAAGTATTTTATTGATCCCCCCTTATTGACCTTCCATGCAAGAATTGACTCCCTCCGTTCCCCCTGAAAACCATGTGATTTCACCCCCAAATCCTTCCCCCCTGCCACCCCTGGTGATAAATAAACACCGGTTTATATATATTCTAGGGTGATCAGATAAAGAAGCGAATTTTCCTCACAGGATTCAGAGGCAGGAGCTCCTGTCAGTGACCAGGAAGAACCGTGTAATGTCTCATTCGTTTCCCTTTTTCATTTCATTCTGGAAAAAAGTGCGTAAAATTTCTTGAACGAGTATTCAATCAAATTGTTTAAATGATTAAGACGAAAGAAATATTTCCTGCGGTGTTACCTAAGTTCAGCCACGACTTTACAGACTATTGATGACTTAATATTGGCTGCATCTGATCTATTTTCACAGCGAGTGCACTTTTCTCCTAGTCTCTTCTGTTTTGACGTTTATCTCTCTTCCATTTCTAGTATACTTTAAACTGATTTCATCAACTCAGTCGATAACGTAAATTACCCACCGGAGAGAGTTTCCAAAGCTGACGTTTCCAGCGTTAGCCCTTCGTCAGAGCGAACGGAAGATTTTTTGTAGGTAGTGTCTGATTATATGCAGGAAAATGGAGCTACGCTGGGAACGTGGTAACTTGGTGTAACGTGTAATATTGTTGAGATGAATTTCCGAAAAAAACCCTAGAACTAAAAAGTTTGTGCATTTAAACATTCACAACCAACAATTCCCCAGTTCGCTCTGACGAAGGGCAAGACGTCAGCCTTAGAAACTTTTTACGGTGGACAATTTACAGCAAAAACTCAGTTGATTAAACCAAGTTATCATTGCGTGACACGCAGCCAGAGGCGGGTCTCGTTTAATCTTCTATCAGGCTACAATACATTTGGAAGAAAATACAAAAGTTTGTTTTGTTTGTAAAACTAGTGTGGTCATTCCACTGAATGTGAATGTTTCAAAATTTATCCACCGTCACAATTGTCTAATTTCAAGCCTATTGTTGTCATAAAATTCCCACAAGCGCGTAACCAGGTAACTATTATTTGCGATGAATGCGTCAGAGCAATGCTGGTACATACGTAGTTATAACCTGCACAGTTTGAGAGGTTCCATGTTAAACTTTAATTGGTCGAAACAAGACAAAGACGTTCCTATGGAAACTCTTTTTAAAGGACAGGTCGACTCCCCCTTTTACTTCTAACGAAAGCCGTTACTCTCGTCGGAAGGTCTAATCGAGCACTACATTTTTAACCGAGTTTTCGCTGTGGTAAATCATTCGTCATCATGGTAAGTAAATACAAATAATATTTAAAGTACCGATCCATATGGTACGACTTTCTTCAGCTGAAGTAAAATTGTAAAAATTCAAAACTGGTGGTAGCTTTCATTCCAAAGTGTCGATTTTCATCTGTGATCTTACTTTAGAGGTTTTTCTTCATTTTTAGATTAATTCTAGACAGTATTCATCGGCCAAGTCGAGTTAAGAAACCGTACGTGTTGTTTGTTTATAGCGTGAATGTATTTCTGTCCACGTTGGCCAAGCCGGAGTTCAGATCGGTAACGCGTGCTGGGAGTTGTACTGTTTGGAACATGGAATTCAGCCTGATGGCCAAATGCCTAGCGACAAAACCATCGGCGGAGGAGACGACTCCTTCAACACGTTTTTCAGCGAAACAGGAGCAGGGAAACACGTTCCTCGTGCTGTGTTCATCGACTTAGAACCAACCGTTGTCGGTAAGATCAGTCAAACCTGTCCTTTTCAAAATTAATTGTTTTTGTGTGACATAAACACAAAATTTTATATTGCCTCATCAGCGAATTACATCGTTACTAAACTTTGCGCAATGTAATCGAGGAGTGTGCTCTTGACATCGCGTAACTCGAGGGGATATCTTTAGAATTGTTTAATTTTGTCCTTGAAGACATTTTGGTTCAAATCGGATGTTTGAATTTAAGTTAAATCCACCTCTTATGTTCCGTTTGTCCCTGGGCATTATTCTTATTGCGACTTAATGTGGTAAAATTGATCTTCTTCAGGGCACTTTACGAGTTAACTTTGTTGCTTCACAAACAGATCTCACGACACTTTAGGCTACGGGGAAACTTAGGACAAAAACATAGAAATACAGACCTACTATCGCGAAAAATAAAACAAACTAAACAGGCAAAGAATTGAATTATTGGAAATGTGCATCCAATTTGAAATTTTTAGAACGGATTTCCAAATTTTAATTACAAATAACTGGATTCGATAAATATGATTAGAGGCTAACTAAAATTTCATGTTTAAGATGAGGTTCGCACTGGTACCTACAGACAGCTGTTTCACCCTGAACAGTTGATCACTGGCAAAGAAGATGCTGCCAATAACTACGCTCGTGGTCACTACACTGTCGGGAAAGAAATAATTGATCTTGTTCTGGACAGGATCAGAAAACTGGTTAGCTCCCCTTAATATGCTAGTTACATTTGCTTTCTTTACACTACTAATTGACTCTAGTGTGATCTCTCATATCGGAAGCTTAAACCTTTGTTTTGAATTTCTTCTCAGGCTGATCAGTGTACTGGTTTGCAAGGTTTCCTTATTTTCCATTCCTTTGGTGGTGGTACTGGCTCTGGATTTACTTCTCTGCTCATGGAGCGTCTGTCAGTTGACTATGGCAAGAAATCCAAGCTGGAATTTGCAATCTACCCTGCACCACAGATTGCTACAGCTGTTGTAGAGCCCTACAACTCTATCCTGACAACTCACACCACTTTGGAGCACTCTGACTGTGCCTTCATGGTCGACAATGAAGCCATCTATGACATCTGTCGCCGCAACCTGGATATTGAGAGACCCACTTACACCAACCTGAACAGACTGATTGGTCAGATTGTGTCATCAATCACTGCTTCACTGCGCTTTGATGGTGCCTTGAATGTTGATTTGACTGAGTTTCAGGTATTTATCAGATGAATAGTACTTTTTAAACTTGGTGAATCAGCATACTTCTGATGCAAGTTGAAGAATTTTTTTCCAGTAGATAACCAGTTTGCTCTTGTGTTTGTAGACCAACTTGGTACCATACCCCCGTATCCACTTTCCTCTGGCCACCTATGCCCCAGTGATCTCAGCAGAGAAAGCTTATCACGAGCAGTTGAGTGTTGCTGAAATCACCAATGCCTGTTTTGAGCCAGCTAATCAGATGGTTAAATGTGACCCACGTCATGGGAAATACATGGCCTGTTGTTTGCTGTACCGTGGTGATGTGGTACCCAAAGATGTAAATGCTGCCATTGCAACAATCAAGACCAAGAGGACCATTCAGTTTGTGGACTGGTGTCCAACTGGCTTCAAGGTTTGTGTTTGAGTTGTTTAAAATTTCAAGGAAGGATCATCATATTTTACCTGTGTCAACTACAGAAAGTCTCATGTAGCTTTTTTTCCAAGGGAAACTGCTTCTAATGGTGATTTTATTAATACTGTAATTCCTATGCCCTATGGCAGGCTGTCCTGGTGAAATAATTGTTGTTTAATGTGAGAAATTCCCTTTTTAACCCTGTGGAGAGTCACTATAGTTTGAAGGAGGGGACTTATTTTCATGTTCATATCCTTAAAAAACTTCAACTGATCATTATTTATGTGTATAGAAAAGGTAAGAAGCCCAAAAACTTTTTTGTTGAAGGGGGTTGGAGTATACAATGGTACAAAAAACATACTTGTGGAAATTATGGCTGGTGGAATGGGTCTAAAGAGTAGTGCCAAATTGAATGGCTCACTTTTGACCCTTTAACTCCCTGAAGTGATCAACCTGAGACTTCTTCTTATATTATCCTTGCATTATCCAGCAAACAGGTATTGAGAATATTCAAACTTATCAAGTAGAAGTTGTTGACTTGATCTGATACAAAATTCTTCTAAATTAATTTACAGGGAAGTGGGTTGCTGGTAGAAGGGAGAATTAACAATCAGATCTTGGGAGTTAAAGGGTTAAATGACGCACTAAATTGAAAGACTCGCTCTTGAATGGCTCACCAGATTGAATAGCTCATTCTTGAATGGCTCATCAGATTTAATAGCTCACTGTTGAATGGCTCATTAAATTCAATGGCTCACTGTTGAATGGCTCACCAGATTGAATAGCTCACTATTGAATGGCTCACACTTCGCAACACTCCACCAATCTCGCCTGCGAGAGGCTGGCATCAAGTATACACCACGCTTTCTGCCCAGCATTCAGTGAGCTGTGAGCCATTCACATTACAGAACTTACACTGCTGTTTGACAGTCTAATTATGTCACTTTTCACTTACGCAATTGAGGTGTGGGCTTCTGCCCACTACAGTAAATATCTCTCTCATATTGACAAGTTTTGTAAGAGAGCTTTACGTTATGGCTACACTAGCAAATACACTCCCATAATGGATGTAATTAGAATGAAAGACAGGCTTCTTTGGGACGAGATAACCTCTGACAGTGCAAATCCATTACATGAACTTTTACCAGCTCAGGGAGCTAGGAGCCTCAGGAAAAGAGGACATAATTGCATCCTGCCTCCAGTCAGAACCGAACGCTTTAAACGTTGCTTTTTCAATAGATGTCTTTTCGAATTTGTGTAGTTACTTAGTCTTGTATATACATAATAGATAGATATATGTAAGAAATTGTAAGTCCAGACGTTTTGTTTCTGGACGTGTTTCTTTTTTAACAATAATAAAGATCTTTATACATTCAATAATGAGCCATCCAATTTGGTAGAGAGTGACTCGGTAGTGAGCTATTCAAATTGGTTAGCAATTTAATATCAAGCCATTCAATTTGGCACTACTAATTTTTATACAATCCACTCGCCATTGGAAATTTGTTTGTAAATATGTGGGTGTAAGTCTTTCCAGTTAGAATTCAATGAAAACCCTTGTATGCAGAAAAGATAACCCTGCTAACATGAAATTTTGAATTGCTTTTTTAGGTTGGCATCAACTATCAGCCTCCTACAGTTGTTCCTGGTGGTGACCTGGCCAAAGTTCAGCGTGCTGTTTGTATGTTGAGTAACACCACAGCTATTGCAGAGGCCTGGGCCCGTCTGGATCATAAGTTTGATCTGATGTATGCCAAACGTGCGTTTGTCCACTGGTATGTGGGTGAGGGTATGGAGGAAGGAGAGTTCTCTGAGGCTCGTGAAGATTTGGCTGCATTGGAGAAGGACTATGAGGAAGTTGGAGTGGATTCTGTTGATGCAGAAGGGGAGGAAGAAGGAGAGGAATATTAGTCATTTTTCATCTCAGTAAAAAGGACAAAACTAAAAAACTTTTTAGGACTTTCATTGTATATTTTATGATCTTTAAAATACACTTTGACTTGCCCTCCTTAGCACCCTGTCCCTAGTTGTTGTGTCATATATGGATTATTTTCAACTGTTTTAATGATGGCCTAGTTCCGGACATCATCTTGTCTTCCTCTGAATTATAAAAGTGTCATTCAAAAGATAAACAAAGAAAAATCGTGCCAGGAAAGAAATAGAGGAAAGTGAATTACTCAGAGAACCAAACAATTGCACAAGGCGGAAAGAATCTTTGAAAGCAGCGCGCGCGCGAGCGAGACGTCACGCGTGTAAAAAAACATTGGAGGGCCTTGCCCAGAGTTCCTGCCGAAAATAGTATTCGAGCAGTTCCCTAGATGGACAGATCCCTTTTTTTTGTGTTGTGCATCACATATAAATGAATCAAAGAAACCTACGACCAACTTATGGATAAAGTAATCCTGAAATGACACATGTTTGTCAACTTTTTACAGTGGTCCAGTAGCATGTAAAGTTGCTCTCTCCTCCAGAGTTAATGCGCTTGCTTTGCTGCACCCACATTACGTGCAACATTACAATGCATCACGTTACGGACTTTTTGCACGTTCCAGCGAACATACATATCGGAAGCTCGCTCGCTAGTATTAAAACCTAAAGTGATTCAATCCTCTCCATATAGCAAATGTCGGAGGAGTGTTATTATGGAATATTTTGCTCACTTTCCGATCGACCATAAGTCCTTTTAAATGGCTATGTCGGGGTAAATTTGCTTCGGTGTGCTCTTGGTTACTCCAAATCTTTCTGGAGATGTGTTACATAACAGGAGAAGAAATCCAAAAAAGGCCTAGGGTTTTTTCGGTATTACTTTGTAACTTTGCTCCAGAGATATTTAGAATTTTGGTAACGACCCAACTCCGCAGAATAATAAAGATATACCTCGGGCAGTCTACAAAATCAGTACGAAAGGAAATCATGCGTTCATCATATTTCTGTTAAAAAAATAAATCAAATTTAGACGCTGCGATTCAAATCTTTCTTTGCCTGCGCGATCCAATTTCCTCGGTATTTCCAGCCCATTGTCACGTTTCGCCGCACAGTCGCTCAATAAATATTTGTGTTGTAAAACGATATTTGTTTACTAGTTTTTCTCCCTCCTACATCTGTTAACAAACCCAAACCTCTAAAGTTTTCTGCCTCGGAAGATACGCATTTTAGGAACTTGTCATTATCACGCCTGTGCGGAAAGATCAGAACCCCCCACCCAATGTAAATAGCAAGCGAACCCTTTTCTTTATTCAATAGTTATGAACCCCCCCCCCCCCCCCCCTCCTCGTCACCTCATATTTCCTCTTATAGGGGCAAATACATATACCAGCATTATTAACTAATGAAAGTGATGTTTTGTTAGAAAACATTTCTTGATTTTGAAAAAGTGATAGATTCTACAAATTATGGTGAACACAAATATATTACTATTGTATTTGTGACTTTGTCCCGGAGAAATTACAATTATAGCCATGCAGAAAAAGCTATTTTCCAGTGATTTTCCTACAGTTGTAAAAGGACTACTTTCTTGTTGTGATATCATGTTTTAAAATTGCTTTCATGACGGAGCGCGGGGAGGGCACGGCTACACATGGGCTGAATATGTCTGCATCTTAATGAGTGAGTGTGTGACCAACTTGCATAGTACTTCGGGTATCCACAAGTGAAAACGCGTCATTCTTATTTCAAATTGCATGATGTGGTTCATATATACTTTCATGGTTGACTGAACAGGTAGGCAGTCATAAATAATGCAGGCAAAATCAAGTGAATCCCTTGAGAACTTCGTATCCCTGGTTAATTCGGCTAAATCTGTCAATACAGGAAAGGTGGGGCTCATTGAAACTGAAAGATACAGGTTTTTGATTGGACCTTTCGTATGACGGATTAGATTGCCATGCCAACTGCGGTTTCTTGGAGTACCTGCTTTTTAGGAGCGCGCAAATCAAGGATTGGCATATTGTACCGTTTCTTTCTTCTATCGAAAGCCGTTGCCTTTCCGAAAGAAGTTTCAAGCGCTTTATACAGTATTTTCCTGCCTGAAATCTAACACTACATCAACATGGTAAGCATGAATCTATTGACTGAGATTTTTCGGAGATTTCGAAGACATTCTATTTAATTACATTGGATTTCAAAGTAATTTATCACGTTCTTTCTCGAAGTTTCGATTCGATTCTTTGAACCAGTCAGTTCTTCGGGTTCCACCTTTCACTTCATTTACTGTTTTTGAGTTTAACTTGCGACATTTAACATTTAATTCTCCTCGATGCTTCTTGTAACGTACATAGCGTGAATGTATTTCTGTCCACGTTGGCCAAGCCGGAGTTCAGATCGGTAACGCGTGCTGGGAGTTGTACTGTTTGGAACATGGAATTCAGCCTGATGGCCAAATGCCTAGCGACAAAACCATCGGCGGAGGAGACGACTCCTTCAACACGTTTTTCAGCGAAACAGGAGCAGGAAAACACGTTCCCCGCGCTGTGTTCGTTGATTTGGAACCAACCGTCGTCGGTAAGTTTACTAATATGTCTGAAGTGTTCCTACTACAAGTTGCAATTTCGCAGTTATCAAACGTCGAAAAAATTATTTAGCATTTTCATTTTATCAGAAGCGTCATTATATCCAGTGCATAAACTGTGGTAAAAGCGAAGGTTATGGTAGCAAAAAGATATCCGCAAAAAGATATCCGCCCAAATTACCTCCCACCGAGGAGTTAAACGCGGCCCGAATTATTAAGTATCAGTTTAGACTTGCTGTGTCTGTATCCTCACTTAACTTTCTTCTTTGGAACTTCTGTTTCGCGTGCTCCTATGTTTTATTACTCTTGATCCTAAAAACTGAGCCTTCTCTTGAGACGAATATTGATTTGAACAGCGAGACGGAGAGTATTGTGCTTGGCAACATCTGTAAACAGAGTGTACCATGCGTCATCAAAAGACACGAACAAAAGGTGAAAGAAAATAGATGTTAAGATTCGTTGGTTAAATTTTCCTTCCCATGTACGAAAACGTATACAGAGAAAGTGAAAATGTTGGCCTTGTTCGTCTGAAATACGTTCATGTTGATGGAGTTGTCACTCGTCAGTCTGATTTTGAAGAAGGGTATATTTCTACGAACACTGGCAGTGGTGGTGTTACAAGATAATTTAGGTATTAACCGAGTTGAAAATGCTATTTGGTGACCGAAAAAAGTTGCTAAAGCTGACATTTCGAGCGGTAGCCCTTCGTCAGAGCAAATCAAAGGCGAACTAAAGGCTATCATTTGAAAGATAAATTTAAGAAACTTTTAGGAGTGGTCAATTTACTTTATCAACTCCATTGATTAAACCCAATGATCATGTCAAAGTTCTCACAAAGTATTTGCTGTTTCAGATGAAGTTCGTACTGGTACCTACAGACAGCTGTTTCACCCTGAACAGCTGATCACTGGCAAAGAAGATGCTGCTAACAACTATGCTCGCGGTCACTACACTGTTGGGAAAGAAATGATTGATCTTGTTCTGGACAGGATTAGGAAGTTGGTAAGCCACCTATGTCTTTTTCTCAATCAAGTGGTGTCTGACATTATACTGTCTAAACTAGAGTACAAAAATTAAACAGATACCAAATTTTCCTCTTTGATATAAAATCCCAGAATGTTAAAACAAATATTTATGCTTTGAATTCCCCCTTAGGCTGATCAGTGTACTGGTTTGCAAGGTTTCCTTATTTTCCATTCCTTTGGTGGTGGTACTGGCTCTGGATTTACTTCTCTGCTCATGGAGCGTCTGTCAGTTGACTATGGCAAGAAATCCAAGCTGGAATTTTCTATCTACCCAGCACCACAGATTGCTACAGCTGTTGTAGAGCCTTACAACTCTATCCTGACAACTCACACCACTTTGGAGCACTCTGACTGTGCCTTCATGGTTGACAATGAAGCCATCTATGACATCTGTCGCCGCAACCTGGATATTGAGAGACCCACTTACACCAACCTGAACAGACTGATTGGTCAGATTGTGTCATCAATCACTGCTTCACTGCGCTTTGATGGTGCCTTGAATGTTGATTTGACTGAGTTTCAGGTATTTATCAGATGAAGAGTACTTTTTAAACTTGGTGAATCAGCATACTTCTGATGCAAGTTGAGGAATTTTTTCCAGTAGATAACCAGTTTGCTCTTGTGTTTGTAGACCAACTTGGTACCATACCCCCGTATCCACTTTCCTCTGGCCACCTACGCCCCAGTGATCTCAGCAGAGAAAGCTTATCATGAGCAGTTGAGTGTTGCTGAAATCACAAACGCCTGCTTTGAGCCAGCTAATCAGATGGTTAAATGTGACCCGCGTCATGGGAAATACATGGCCTGTTGTTTGCTGTACCGTGGTGATGTGGTACCCAAAGATGTAAATGCTGCCATTGCAACAATCAAGACTAAGAGGACCATTCAGTTTGTGGACTGGTGTCCAACTGGCTTCAAGGTTTGTAATTTGGATAAGAAAGCTATTTTAGATGTTCCCAAAAATTAAGTCAAATTTCTGGCTTGTTAGAATTTTAACTTTAGAGAAGTTGTACATATATTGAAAACTTTTGAATTACTTTTTTAGGTTGGCATCAACTATCAGCCTCCCACAGTTGTTCCTGGTGGTGACCTGGCCAAAGTTCAGCGTGCTGTTTGTATGTTGAGTAACACCACAGCTATTGCAGAGGCCTGGGCCCGTCTGGATCACAAGTTTGATCTGATGTATGCCAAACGTGCATTTGTCCACTGGTATGTGGGTGAGGGTATGGAGGAAGGAGAGTTCTCTGAGGCACGTGAAGATTTGGCTGCATTGGAGAAGGACTACGAGGAAGTTGGAGTGGATTCTGTTGATGCAGAAGGGGAGGAAGAAGGAGAGGAATACTAGTCATGGGACAGTTTGTCATCTTGTCTGTTTAAGTTTTGGAAGATAAGCAATAAAGAGATTTTGCTTGGAAAATGGTGTCTTATGATTAATTTCTAAATCAGCTTTATTGTCAGGTTTTGTTTGATTTTTTCAACCATTCCCCGTTGAACAAAGTACTATTCGATGAAGCAACACTGCTAAAACATAGTTCTCTTTACCTTGAAATGTGAAATATTAGTCTTTTGCACTTAAAAGTGGTCACAAATGCGAGATTTGGGTCATATTATTTGGAGGCGAACCATAACTTCACCCCTCAAGTAAGCTTTGACAGTATTTTAGGCGAACTTTGGGTCAACACTTAAATTAAGGTGTTGGAGACTTCTTTTTTTACTCGTTTGTTTCTAATTTAATTCGCCAAATTTTCAAACTTAAATTCAGTGGAAATGTTGGGACCTCTTCCTTAAGCTACTCTGAATGCTGCTGCATCCATTGGCGAACATCATTAATTGCTTAGGGTGACTAAAATCATGGAATTTAGGTTTGGCTTCTGGAGAATCAGCAGTCTTTCAAAATGTGCAAAGCAATGTAGATCAAAACTTGAAAAAATTAACCGAGTCAATTTCAGTAGAAATAAACATCACACTTTCCATGCTCGCGGACGTTTTTTTTTAACACTTAATTTATTTGTGACATGCATGTTTGTGTGCCGTTTGGAATAAGCCTATCAGTTCACTTGCTTTAGTTACATCATGGCATTTTCCAAAGAGTCGTGGGAAATCGTGGAATTTTCACAGCTCAAAAGTGTGCGAACCCTTAAAGAGCTAGGAAAGACTTGGTAAGTATTTATACCCCCTACAGTTGAAATACCATAGCCCCATGGTTTAATATCCTTTTTTTTTTGTTCAAATTCTAGCCTGAATTATGGCGAAAGCTTATAGGCCGCACTTTACCAGGAACGTCTAAGAGACGGTTTAGTATTAATTGACAAATAATTCTCAACATTGCAATTTTAGTTTCTGTACTACTGCGGAAACGTAATCAATAAACGAAAAATATTATCTAGGCGATAAAAACCTAACATTAATTGTTTATTTAAAGAGTTGCAAAAAATAATAATAATAAATAAAAAAATTAAACAACGGTCAAAATTTAACAGTTTTCTAAACTCAGAAGTGTTGAGTTTCGCGTTATTTGAACTCATTCTCCAAATTATCAGAGTTGTGTATGTCACGCTGTCACGATCTAAGTCGAGCATCACATCATGGTCTGGCTGTCACGATATTCCGTGGATTGGATTGGCATCCGCTGTATCGTGGGATTCTGAGTTTCCATCTCTTGCTTTCGGCACCTGCGGCACGAGCAGAACCCAAACCAATCTTTCCTAAAATTGGGTATGTAACAAGCAAAAATTAATGGATTGAAAAGTGAATTTACAAACTTCATCAGTTCCGTGATGATTGTAAGGACCAGAACAATATCGGGGTGCACTTCAGCCAGGACGTTAAAGGATCGAAGCATGGAGATGAATACAGAAGGGCCCCAACAGATGACCACGCCCATAGAAAGTGCGCTCAGCATGCGTGTGACTTTTCTCTTCGCGTTGGCAGTCTCCTTACTGATGGTACCATTTTTTACATCTTTCTTGAGATAAACGAACGTCACGACAAACAGGAAAACCATGACAACCAGAGGAACAGTAAAAGCCAGCAGAAAATACAGGGTAGTAGAAAGCTGCCCGCTCCAATTCCGATACAAATCGCACAGTTTGGGAACGCTACAGTTTTTTAGCTCCTCTGTTAAATTTTGATCAGCCTCTGGTATCTGCGTATAGAGGATACTCTGTGCGCTGTACATTAACGGTCCACTACAGACAATAGCGTACAGCCAAACGACGAAAACCACAACAAAGGGCGTACGGCGTGACATGAGACCTTTTAAAGGGTATGCCGCGTCACGATATACATCAACAGAAATCACTAGAAGCGAAACAAAAAAAGCCGCACCACAAGCCGAGGAGAAGAAATGTAGTAGCTTGCATGGAATAGTCCCCTCCTCTACGCTAAATACTGTGCTCAAATATATCAAGGGTCCCACGGTTAACAACCGAAATATCAAATCTGCTACAGACAGATGAAATACAAAAAAGTTTGACAAGTTCTTTAGCACACACTTGTTTTTCAGCATGACTCCGCAGACTGTAGCGTTGATAACGATTCCGATGAAAATCAGAAAGAAAACTGTTGCTTCAGATGCCTTGGCAATTTGTTTAGCCGTTACACACGTCATCTTGAGGATGTCGGCTTTGTCATTTCCTAAAGTCTGCATGGTGTCTGTCTTTCTTGGTTTTAGAGATATCTCAGTTTCCTTTTAACTTTTTCGCTGAAACCGAAAAAAAAAAAAAAAAGAATAAGTAAGTATAAAACGGTGGTGCATATCAATTAAAAACAGGAGCCTATCGGGCTCTCAAGATTTTATGAAGGGCTTTGACCTTTCACTTACGAATAAATCGCGGTGGAAGCCGTCAACTTAATTTGATAGTTGCCTTAGAAAACCTTGCGAGACAAAAACTGTGTCAAACTTTTTAATGTATTTCAAAGGTCTTATTTGTCGTTTCGAAATCATCTTCTGATTGGTTTAAAAGAATCTGGTGGTCCGAGGTTTTTCTCGTGACCTTGCATCTGTCAGTATGGTATTAAGATTATTTGACCATCATATCATGTAACGTTCACAAAAGTTCCCTCCACCATTCATTGTTGTTGCGAAGGAAGCAAGGTTCCATTAACCTTTCGGTTGCGCCACAGGCATGGCATGTTCTTGTTTATAAACGATTTCGTCTTGTTTACCTCTCTATCTTTGGTATAAGGACTTTCATGGAAAAAATGCAGAGGCCTGTACTCGACAACTACATCGAGTAATAGGTAATGCAAATAGTGATGGGCAATGAAACAATGTTTTTTTTCAATGATCAAGGTTTATGGGCTGTCGATAAATGGCCTGTTCGTTCGTGATATTTTTCTCATAATTCCTTGATGACGTTATGGAAGATGAGATAAATGATGTATTCCACGACTTCCGTCAAAGAAAATCTAAGGTCGCCTAGACAGGAATTAATATACGCACTCAATCAGTTTTTAAACAACTCACTCAACTCAAACCTGTTTCCTCAAGGTACGTGCGCCAAAAGTGGACAGTCCCTTGAGAGGAACTTATAATACACGGGTTGAGCGAGTGGAGTTCGCTGAAGACTTTCGATAGACTGCTATTTACGGACGGTCAACCGAGCTCAGTTATTGCGAAACCGAGTGACATTACAGAAAGCGCAGCAATTTGACACCGTTTTGTGGTGGCTGTTAATTATGGCATATGATATCAGCATATAGAACGTTTTCACTGTAACGCAACGAAAATATAAATATTCAGTATAAATATAAATATTCAATAAATGAGGTCAAGAAGATGTAATGTTATACACTACATTATATGTGGTGCACCAACATGGCGGCCGGAAGATAGTATAAATATCTGGAACTTACTTTTGCAATCTAGTCGAATGATTATCTAAAATAAACAAACAGACATTTAAAAAAAAGCATTTTTCCTAACTCTTTAACTCCTAAAAAGGCTAAAAACCAGAAGATAAATGTATATTTTTTCACAAACACGATCGGAGCTGCATGTCACCTACCGCCACAACTCTGAACTTCAAACTGCGCTGGTTTCCTAACCAAGCACGGTATTAAGCTGAAAATTTTATCACAAGTATTAATTTAGACCCTCTTATGCCCGATGAGGATAAAAGGTCTCGTGGCTCTCTAGTTTTGAATTTCGGAATTTGATGCGTTACGTAAAAAAGGTTCTACAGACTTGACTTGAAATAAATATTACGGGAGTTACTACATCACGGGCGACG